CACTCACAAAAACATGCTCTCAAACATGCTATCAACTCCATAGTGCCAGATAAAATAAAAAATAAAAAAAATCACTTCCATTTCCTGAACCAAAACATAGTGTGCTGTGACTCATTACTGCACTCTAATTCAGCTTTTTATCTTCAAAGGCTGAACTCTTGAAAAGGAAATGTGTGGCTGTATCTGGACACTTGAGCTTTACATTTGCAGGACTAATTTCATTTGCACTTAGCACTAACAACTTCCCTCATTTTGTCAGTTCGCCTTTCTTTTTTCTTGATGTGTCCGTTCCTATCACTACAGGAAGTCTAGCAGAACAGGAAGTGTTCAAAATTAGCATCACAGATCATTGACGACTAATTCCAGCTGATGGTTTACAGCTCCCATGCCCATCTTCTGCAACCAACGAGAGCGCAAACAAACACAGTTCATTCTCAGAGTAACTGATTTAGAACTTGTGGTTCGCCAAGTATGCGCATTAACCTGAATTGCATGGAATGATGGTTTGAAATACACACCGAGGGAAGTGTTTGTGTTGTTCCAAGAATACACACGGGTGCGTTTTGCATTTTAGAGGAGCAGATGGGAATAAACTAACTAACTGATTAAAGTCATTCCATAAAAGTTTTTTTCTACTGGATCTGAACACGAAGACTATGCAGTTTTCTATAAAGGATGTCATCTGTAAACAAAGAATTAGCAAAGAATTAGGGGATGGCAAGCGAAAAGCTAAAAAAAAACAGTTAAGACTAGCCAAATAAAAGAAGTGCTAATGTGGTCCAATTCAGTTTAATCCCCGAGTAAACACAAGCTTTACTCCGAGGTTCAAACCCACAGTTCCAAGTTGCAAAATTCCGGCAAAATACCAGCGCAGAGACCCATTTGTCTGTACTATTCATGCAAAATGAGCACTAATGAAATATGCACGAGATCTGAATAGCATCTCAATAAATAAATAATTGATATCATCCCCTGAATGGGCAGATGAAGAAAGACAAAAAAAAAACAATGAGTTTGTTTAATAGATTCTAATGTCTGTTTACTTTGCGTCTAGTTTCATTACGCAGCGTTATTTTTTACATTTTAACTCCAGAATATTGTCATCATAAGCTCAATTAAAATCATTTTATCTTAAATATAAATGAATGCACTTGAAAAGACCGCTTGGTAAATTTTATAATCTGTTCCCCATATCTGTAATAGCTAAAAGCAAATGGGAAGGATATTTTAAATTTGTATATTCCAGTATAAATCACTAATTGTTTGGAAATTGTGCTAAATCAAAATAATAGCTCACTCAAAAATGAAAATTTGATGAAGATGTACTAACTCCAGGCGATCCAGTATCTAGATGAGTTTGTTTCTTCATCAGATTTGGAGAAATGTTGCATTGCATCACTTGCTCACCTATGGATGCTCTGCAGTGAATGGGTGCCGTCAGAATGAGAGTCCAAACAGCTGTTAAAAACATCCCATTAATACACAAGTAATTATATATTATCCTCCATCCATAACATTGCTTTCTCCAGTGAAAAAATTGTTTTGTCTGAATCAGGAGAGAAATATGCACAGATCAAGCACCGTTTATAAGCCCAAACAGTCCAAAACAGCTCTAAACAAATACAGTATGTTGGTGGATTTTGATGTGAAGGACAACAGGGATGGACTTCTTATAAGCAGCAATTTAGGAGTTTACTGAGGCAAAGATCAAAGTTAATGGTTTGTTTATAGCAAGAATTGGACCTTGAAATAAAGTTTTACCCCTAAATATGTAAGTAATGATGATTTCTCTAAACTGTAACATTTTCTGTGTAGTCTTTATGTGTAATTTATTATAAATGTCTTATTAATGCATTATAAAGTCTTATAAGTTCTCTGTTCTAATAAATAATAATTAATAATAATTACAATCACATTTGTAATATATTACAATAGTTATCTATTACCGTTAAAGAATGTGATGCATTAAAGCATGACCACACCACAACATTAATTAGTAACAAGTAATTTGCCTGTCCTTATCGCAATGTTATTCCACTATTATTTGTAATATTGTACTATCTAATAATACTAGAGCTAGATAAAATTTTTATATTTTCATTTCCGTTTAAGTTTTAGTAATTGTATGTGCTTTTGTCATTTTGTTTTTTGTATTTCTATATAGCTTTAATTTATCTTTATTTCAGGTTTAGTTGTAGTTATTTTAGTATTCAAATATTCAAATATATTTATTTCACTTAGTTGCCATTTCTGTTGTTATAGTTTATTTTATTTCAACTTTCTTTCAATTACAGATTTTATTTTATTTTAATTTTGTTCATAATTATTATTATTATTTTTTTTTTTCTTACTATTTTTCTTTCTTTTTATTTTTACTTTTAGCCAACAATAACAACTCTGCCTAATCGGAAGCAATAATCTACACAGAAATCCAATCCAATCAGAACTTGCTTAAAGGGACAGTTCACCCAAAAATTATAATAATTTTGTAAATAATGTTCAGTTTTCACTTCATAAGACCTCAGTATATCTTCAGGGGCCACAGGTATTAATTTTGTGTTGCCTGATAAGTTTTTTTTTTTGGACTCTCAAAATGCCAGTAGCCATTGATTTGCATTTCAGCTAAAAATCTTCTTTACTGTTCCACTGAAGAAGAAAAAAAAAGTCACCTACATTTTGGATGGCTATATGTAGATGGATTTTGGACCAATAAAATGTCAATATGGGTGTAACACTACAGAAATAGAAACCAATCAGCTAGTTGGGACAAAAGCTCAGATTTGCATGGAAAAGACAGATTTTATCTTGTCTCATGAGGACCCAGTGATATCGTGTGCAGCTGATTCATTGTTTCACTCACTGCAATATGTGATGTAGGACAGAAATCCTCTCCTCGCTGTTCCAATGACAAGACTTGCACCTAATCTTATTTATGGGCTTTGGCCGCACTGAACGAAGCCCAGGATGCAGCGAGGCGCCTGGGATTGTCGAGGCGTAGCCGTGTATGAGGGTCAAAGCGTGTTTGGTACATAATGATATGGCTATATAAATAGCTCTCTCTAATAGTAGGTCTCAGACATCCGATGCATACTGTCTTGTTTGTCTCGGTTCTTTATATCTGTCTTCCTCTCAGTCTTTCTCGGCACTGTGCGATGTTACCTGATCCAGAAGTAGACAACAAGAAGCTAAAGATCAAATTTCTAGCTTTTAAAGCTCATCTTTGGCTAGGGGTTTCCACCAGCTAGTTATTTCTAACTGATGGTAGTGTTTTATTTGAGGGTTTACAGTATGTATCCTAAAATTACAGGGCTCACGAAGGACATTTTGACTCCCACAACCAGTTCTGGTGTTGACAGCTTTCACAAAAGGATAGCAATTGGGAAACGGTTTGTGGAAGAGAATTGCAGGTGGAACCAAACATTAAATGTTCATTGACATTTCTCCAAATGGCTACAGCAGATCTGATTCGGTCCGTCCATCTCCTTATTGTTTCAAAACAGCCTTGTAAATAAAATCAGCTGATGTATGTAACTGAACAAACTAAACTGCAAAAATAATGACTGTTATCAGACATGTTTCTAGCCCAGGCTCATTGGAAATGTGTGCTTGTGGTTATGTTTTTGCAGCACCGATATTATGTACCTTATTCTATGTTTCGCAGCAGTTTCAAAGTGAAAAGTCCAGTGAGTAGCGCTAACACAAATGTTTAATGCGTGACTGTGGCCACACTTTTATTTATGTTGCTTAAGGCACATTTCACAGTGTTTTTATTACGTTGGTTTGGGTACGTATTGCGGCGATTCAGAATTCAAATGTCCGGGGAGCGTCACTAAAAGTTTATTTTCGTGTTGGAAAATAACACGAAACCCAATCCTAAACCTACCCGATGCAAAAGTGATATCAAAACGATGTCCGGGGAGCGTCACTAAAAGTTTATTTTCGTGTTGGAAAATAACACCAAACCCAATCCTAAACCTACCCGATGCAAAAGTGATATCAAAACGCATTGGCTGATGAAACAATGCTATTTTAATTTCCTTCTACGCAGGTTTGAGCTGTTTGGTCGAACTGTAGTTTTCACAGGAGCGCTTCACCTGTGTGCAACGCCGTATCGGGTGGGCTATCGAGCAAACCTACTGCATTAGAAAACCCATACATACTGTATGTGACGCTAACATTCAAAAGTATCAGTTTTCAAATTTCACAGCATGTTAAAATTGTTTTGAAGTCATGACATAATAATGTTCAATCAACACAAACTCAGCACACCTGAAAAAAACGATAGCTGCATTGGAAAGATAGTCCAACAAAACTGTCGAAAATATAAAAAGATGCAATCCCGAACACTATCTATCAGGCACGCCTGATGAAGGTCAGTGGACCGAAATGTTGCTTGTGATAATAAACTTCTACATTTAGCAAGTATACAGTAGATAGTGTGCGGGATTGCATCTTTTTATAACATAATAATGTGCAAGGAATTGTGTGAAAATTAGGCTTTCTTAATCGAAACTACTTTTACTTCTGCTGCCTCTTGTGTTCATTTCAACTGGAAATTGCAGTGATTTGTATGTATAGGTAAGTAATAGGTAATACCGTTCTTTCTCCAATAACATCCATTTAGAAATAGCCACGGCAACTGAGAAGCTGTCATTAAAGTGAATGGGATTTTGAGAATGAATAGCACACATTTACAATTCAAAGCCATTTTAGTTTATTTCAGCTCGAAATATAGTACAATAGATGGACGAAACATTGCAGTTTGATAATAATCGAATCAAACACTTGACAGCCCAGGTGCTCAGTGGCCACTGTGGGGAAAGCGCGGAGAACGTGGTTTAATCTGAAATGAAAAGGATGCAGCTTTTGTTTTGTGGGTTTTGAGGAGCGCTGGGGAAATGAGCAATGCTCTCTTTTCCAATTATGAAAGATAAAGTTCAATTAAAATGTAAATGTGGAGACTAACCGCCACACATGCTGCGTTTGTCTGCGCACGCTAGATGGAAAGACTTGCAGAAGCTGCTAGTGGAAATTCACAGAAGAAAAAAGCTCTTTTGGTCTTTGTTGTGAGCAGCTCAGGTGCAGATGAGGTATTCTCTGAGTCTCACAGCATACACACTCCAATTTTCCCGCTCACTCTTTCTCTGTGTTGTACAGCTGTAATTAGGAGACCTGGGAGCAATGAATATATATATACATATATATATATATATTTTACCATTACATATTTGTGTATAATGCCACTTTATAATTATGTTAACTTTTTTGTGTGTGTTGCATTGCTCTGTGGATAAATTTGAATTGCTTTGACAACAATTCAACTACTAGGCCTTATCACTTGATAAAATGTACACATCATAGAAAAAACATGCATAATTAGTCAAAATAAATAACGAAAACTAGTCACATTCTGTCAAAAATAAAATGTTGGACTCATGCAACTCTTAAATTTGCAACTTACATTTAAATTAAATTCAAAATTCCTCTTCCTGTCATTCCAGTTCAACGTTCCGTGGTCAATGCCAATTAAATTCACATTCCAACTCATAAATTGGAAAAGAAAGCTCAGAATTTTCCGCAGTCCTTCTGTGTGACAGATAAAGAGTGAGAAAAGCACAGAGTGAGCGTCTGAGCGCCGCACATGATCTTGAGTTCCAGACTGGAGCTTCAGCAGTGCAGGACAGGCCAGTGATGGATGCGCGGGATGAGTCATAGACGCTGGGCCGTCTCTACCATCACTCATCTCCCTCCACAGGCCTCAGCTGCAGTGCATTAGTCAAATTTCCCCCTCCTCAAAGCGGCCAAGACATGCACGGGACTTCCCAGCCTCTTTGTGCCCTGCTCTGTTGTGGTCAAGTGACCCTCATTACGCACAGGCACCAAAGAGTACACAGGTGGTCTTCAGGTGTGTGCAAATCCACTGCAGCACACAAACAGGAAGTGGACTATCAACAGACTTGAGGACTCTGACATGTTGTTTGGTCATATTGCATTTTCTATGAGAACGTGCAAACATTTTTTTTTATTTTAACTGAAATGTTAATGTAATTATAAAGTGCCATTATACAAATGCAAGTACAAATGCAAAT